TCGCCTTGGAGCATCTTGGGCCAGCCAGGAGCATCATCCCTAGTATCGTCCCCATGTGATGCAGCGTGACAATCTGTCACGTGTGGCGACTTCTGAGGCATCTTGCAGAGATCCATTGGCCGGAAGGGAGCAACTGTTGGATTGAATAGCGACATAAAAACTCCTTCATACTATACTGACTGGCTGCAGACAATTCCAACTCTTGTCCGAGGGCCTGAAAGACCCAAGGAGGTCCAAGCAGTCGCAATGGAGAATGATCCCTTGACCGCATCCTGGCAGATTGGACAGAACTACTGCCCCAAAAACGGCCAACTGAGTTTGGATCCTGGTCGCTGCATGCTACGTGTATGGTCTGCCCTAGGCACATGTGCTCTGGAATGTGTATACCCAGAAATGAAAACAGTTCAGTCATCATACCTCCCCACCAACCTCCAGTCATCTGCAAGCATGCAACCACAACAAAGTTGACATAAGTTGATGTTTGTTTCGGCGAAGCCGCATAATCACGACAAAACTGTCGTTTATTCCGGCGGAGCCGCATAATTACTTTTCTTCTGTGTATGGTTGGGTGCGACTTGTCCTTCTTGGCCATGCTTCAAGGCCTCTCTTCAATCTAAAATTTTGATATATGTAATATTCATCATATTGCTGTACATCCAGACTACTGGGAGATGAAACAAATCACCGCGCAGGCCCATGCTTTGGAGTCGAGCTTCTTGCTGCGAAACCATGTCAAGGCCCACGCAAAACACGCAAGTTGGATTATAACCGCTCTTGCAATCACAAGCTAAAGTTCTACGACAGCCCTTGCCAGACGGGTCGGTCTTTGAAACAGGCAGCCGAATGGTAATTTGCTTTTGCACTAAGTCACAAGCTACATCACCTAAGAAGATGCAGGACAGCTCTGCTTCGTGCAGAATAAAATGATAGCCCAAAATCCAAGCAGCAACCCGCTTTCTAGGCCAGGCGCTTGACTGCGTCTCATCCGCAGGTCTGTCCACCAGATGCTGCAGCCACTCGATTTGATCTCTGCTGCTCGCCGCTTCGGGCCAACCGCACGGGATACGGCTCTTTTTGCGTCCCACACGGTTAGTTCCAACAGAGAATGCGTGCCCCTCGCGTTTGCAGAGCCTCATTTACGTATGCTCCAGCTGCTTTATACCCCGCTGCCCGCAAGGCTGCTGATACTTGATGCACCAGTTCAATGCTCAATGGCAAAGGCGGAGAGCCAACTTTGCAAGCAATTTTGGCCCATGTAGCACTGCATAGCAATTTTGGACGACAGCGTCTGTGGCGCATAGATGGCCTCACTGTATTCCTACATTGCTTCGCTCATAGCTTGCTGTGATCGAGCCACCTTCAAAGCCTCACCCAAAGAACCCTGTCCCTTCTTGTTCACAGGAGGCACTAACGGGCCTAAAGGGATGCGGCAGCTGATGCAATTCGGCTGCTGCCACATCCAACATCTCATCTGCATCACAAACAGGTCTGACAGGTCTGACGCTGCCTGCCAGCCCTGCCCTAGCACCTGCACTTGTCAGCTCCCGATCTACCGGGATTGCAACTAACGGTGTGGCTTCCACAGGAATGGGCCCTGTTGTCATACCAATGGCTCTCCTGGCTGCTGCAATGGCGGGAGGAGCGACATCAGCCAAAAGGGCAGATCGTTTACTTGATGTAGCAGCTGTGCCAAAAAAAAAATATTTCCTAAATGACCAGAACATGGTCGCACAGCCTGAGCCAACACACCTCTTTTTCCCGCCGAGCAGTGTTTACGAAAGTTGTGGCCATGCACAGAAACTACGCTCTAACTCAGGCACATCAATCCGTTGGGCAAGAAATAAACAGGAGGGAATCGTATAACCCTCAGCGACACGAGACAGGCGATCAGCCAAGGTATTTCGTACCCCGGGAATATGCCGTGCCCAAAGAGCATCAATTCCTAACAATTCCTAATTCACATGCTAGTCGGACTATGATTGGGGAATGAGCTTTGAATTTTGTAGCAGCTTCTAAAGCAGACGTGCTATCAGACTGTACAACAATGTGCACCCGCTTGTTGGAAACAAATCTGGAAAACAAACGAACAGCCAAGAAAATCGTTAACAATTCCCATTCACTCTGGAAAGCTGGGTGTGTGCAAAATAGGCCATGGGCGTACTGGAAACATACTCGGTCTGCACGACCTGTTTCCACTATTCGGTCAAGTTCGTCTTGTGCTTTGCTGCCAGCCTCATAGAAAGAAGAGTAATTGAGCGCCTCTCCTGACCAATCTTCCAGCAGCCGGCCGATGGCCTGAGACGACTTGATCGATGCAAACACGTCTTCAGTGGCAGGGAAGATGCCAGTGTTTACGATTGGCGCACTGACACCAAGTGGTACGAAAAGTCCAGCCAATCGGGAACAACCTTGGCATCAAGGTCACATGCTTGCTCCAGCATGCACCTTAGGAGAGCTGTGCGATGGCCTTCCGGGTTTGAAACATCATTCACCTTAAATTCGTCATGCAAAACTGTACGGGCCCTTTCAATGAGCTCTTCTGGCAGCACCAGGTGTTTCTCAAAGGAAAGGATGGCAGAGGTGTCGATGCATTGATCATCATTGATCCAAAGCTGTACGAGGATCTCGCAGGCCGCCCACTGCTTGCTTGTTCTCTTCCTCTCTCTGCTCGGCCTTGGTCGATCTTCTGCGGAGCGCGCGCGTGGGCTTGAGCAGCCCCACCAGGTTTGATCAAATCTGCTCTGACTAGCTGGTAAGGGCTGGTCCTGACCAACGGCAAACTTGAGCTGTCCAACTTTGCAAGCTCCAGCGGTGCTAGGGGCACTGACGACTTTGATTCTTGTTCCAGAGCGCGCAGCTCGCTGTAATTCAGCTCAGATCAGCTCTTGTTCTTGCCCTTGCCAGAACCTTTCCCACCAGGCTTTGCCAAGTCGCATTGGGAGCTGGGATGATTTTTCAAGCAGTACTGGCGTACATGGGCGCGAAGGTCCTTGCAAGGATCTTCGCATTCTCCTCCCTTGCCTTTTGCAAATCGAAAACAGATTTCTCGGCCTTCGGCTGTGGTGACGTACTGCTTTCTCCAACTCAGCGGGTGGTCTTCCTTCTTGTTGCTTTCTTTCTTCTTGGCCTGCCTCGGCCTTGCATCTGGCTGAGACGGAGAAGAAACCACCGGCTCTCTTGAAGAAGCTCGCTTCGGCCTCTTCTTTGGACTGCTGAAGTTTGTGCCAATGCTCAACGCTTCCTGCGCCGGTTCTGTCATCCCGACGCTCTGCGCTGTATCCGCTGACATTCTCTTTCCTCCCCCGGCGATGAAGAAGATAGCTGGGCTGATCACATGCTCGTCCCAGAAGTCCTTGTTGCGGGCCGCGTGGGTGAACACGCCAATCCACGGCTGCAGTGGATTGAAATCCAAGCCCATCGGCAGACGATTTTCTGCAGGTGCCTTCGTCAATTGACGGCGGTACCTTTCGAACATCTCCGAGCGACATTTGTCTCCTGCTTTCATGGCTTCTGGGATAGTCCATGTTCAGCTTTGCCACCTGCTCGAAATACTCTTCTAAACAAGCTTGCGTCACAACGCGCAGGGGGGTTCAACCTGCGCCAGCTGGATATCGGAGCATCGACAGGATGGTGCGGAAGACCTTCCAGCAGGACTGCCAAGCCTCGAACGAGGGAGGTCCAGGCACGTCCAAGGCCTTGAACGTCCCATCCTGCTGAAGGACCCATGATCTTGTCTTCAGCTGTTTCTGCATTGTTCTCCCGTAAGGGGTCAGGATGCTGAAACCAATCTGAAATCCGCATACGGGCTTTCGCCCCGTTTCACAATCCTGTCCCTCAGCCTCAGAGCGGAATAAATCTGTTCTCCTGTTGGCTCGCCTTCGTCTGCCCGCTCGGCTCCAGTCATCTCGATGTGGTTTAAAGGCGCTTGATCGAGCTCTGTCCTGCTCATCAAGGAAACTTCTGAATCGTCCATCTGATCGGTAACTGAACTCACCTTGGTTCTCTTTCCAGCGGCAGGCCCGGCTGGTGCGGCAGCAGCTGGGGTTGCTGGTGCGGGCATCGGATCGGCCAGGGGGTCGACATCCGCCATGTTGAGAGTTTGCCGGGCTACCCTCCACATATAGGCAATGTGAGTAGTCTCCATTGCATGCAACTCTCGTGCGGGAGTGCCCAACCGGACGGTCCGCAAAGTTGAGCGGAGCAAGGACATAGGCAACATAGCAAACAAAGTAGCATCTGCAACCCCTCCTAATGCTTGATCCACTGCTTGCCAGGTTTGCAACTCGCATCTGCACAATTGGCGAATGTGTCCCAGGTGTCCAAGGTGGCCAAAGTGGCCTGATTTGGCAAACCATACCCGGCCATGAAGCATTAACCAACTAATGCAGCAAAGAGCGAAGCCCCAATGCATGGATCACTTAGGGGGGCCCTGGGTGCAGCAAGCACCAGGCGACGCTGGCCCCTCCGCAGCCGCAAAAGATGGAAAGCAGAGACAGAACAAGTGAAGTCTAAACAAAAGGGAGGACAAACTTGAGTCCAAAATGGTAATCGTAGACACAACTGTTTGAACCGACCACCAAGATTTCTTCACTGCGTTTTCACTTTGCAAATGCGTTGCTACACCAAAAAAATAAAATGGTGGAAACAATTGTGTAGCGCCTTCATGCTAGACAGCACAGTCTGTGAACGCGTTGATTCTCGACGTGCTTGTGAAATCATCTGCGATTTGATGTCTTGAAATAGTTTATGTGCGATCTGATGTCCTGCGATGTCCCCTTCTCTCATTATAGCTCAGGTATGTGTCATCACATGTCATGTCCCTGGTTCTCCCTCTCTCCCTCTCTCCCTCTCTCCCTCTCTCCCTCTCTACTCTCTCCCTACCTCCTCTACTCTCACTAGCTTGCTCCTTCCTCCCTCCCCTCCCCCCTCCTCTCTCTCTCCCTTCCTCTCTCTCTCTCTCTCTCTCTCTCTCTCTCTCTCTCTCTCTCGCTCTCGCTCTCTCTCTCTCTCTCTCTGTCTCCGCCTCTCTATATAGTGAAACGTCTAAGTATTGGCATGGGTTCGGCATGCCGGGAGGTTGTAGTATGATGTCAGTTTTGCCCATATAAATTGAGGGGTTGAAGGGTCTGCGTGGGCCAGTGCTTGCCCAGCTGACTGGCTGAAAAACAAACAAAAAATATATCGTGGAAGAATGTTGCTGTTAAAGGGTATTATGATGGACTGAAGACTAGCCGCGACTAGCTGCCCTTCCCATGCACAACCACGCCAAACAGCAAAAGTTTCCCATCCAAAGCGAATACTTCATTGGGGCACATTGGGGCGATGATCAAACCCACAGCCCCACACCTCATGTCGATTGATCTTCTCTGCATCTCGCAAGGAATCCCGCAAGCATTCTGCTAGATGTGGAGGTGCTTCTGCCAGCCTTGCCATGGTTGGAAGGTGTTGGAGTGGCTTGGTTGCGACGCCTTGACACACCATGACACGACCGGCGCTGCCCTGGGCTCAGAATCCATTCTGCTATCCTTTGAGCAGGACCCTGGAGACACAGCTGCACTTGGCTTCGCCACCACGCCACGTGGTAGCATTTCCCTTTTCAAGGTGTGCATATGGAACATGAAATCCACATCACACCTAAACATTGCCCGTACTGCTTGACATGCCCAGAAGCAGCAGTTCCAAGAGGGGCAGCACGACAACCAAGGCCTCCAGACCGGGCCAATGAGTCGAATTGAGCTGAAGCGAAGCAATGTCTTTGATTGGTGAAAAAATGGAGGCAAGTCGTAGCGTGGAGGTTTAGTTAGCACTCAGGTGTGCTAGATCCCCCTGTTTTGACACACGAATTTTCACCCAGCATCACCCAGCGAACTCAGCCAAAATCCAGCTGTGCAACAAAAAGTTTATGAAGTGAGACAAATGTCCGCGACTGTCTTATCACCGGTCTAGCATCCAGGAACTCTTTTCCCTGTGAGGGCCCAATGGGATCAGTATTTAAGTTGGGTGCCCCGGTGATACGAGGTGTGTCAAATCAGCACGAACACCTACAGTTGGGACCCTGACCTCGCAGGCAACTGCTAGGAAAATAGCATTCTCCTCCGGATCATGAGTCAAACGTGTGAAACATGAGCCGGACAGGCCGAACCCTTTGGCATACTTTGGCACTGGGCGAACTAGATTTTTCGGGTTTTCATGGTGTATGTGTGTGTGTGTGTACGCCGTTGAAGCTGTTCCAGCCAGAACAAATATGCATAAAAATGTTACTCGACTCGTTTGAAATTTCCCGCTCCGAAAGATCCAAGCAAGTGATCTGGTTCAACTCACATCGCTCCAAAGGCATTGAGCACAAGACCTGCTAGCTGCATAGGCACATTGGGGAAGTCATTGGAGACCTTTCACACAGCCAAACACCCGTCACAAGTTGGAATGGAACTGATTGCTCAAAATTCCAAAAGGTGTATCATGAAGTATTTTGTGCATGTTTTTCCTCTCCAAGCGATTAGCAATTCAGAATACCGCAATAGAATACCAGAAGTGCCTCACAAGGCGGCGGCGAAAGCTTCCAAGAAACTATCGGACCGGTGAGTTGTTGTGATGCATGGATGGCAGAGCGAACCCACTAATGGATTGAAAGGTGGTTGACGCTTTGGCTCTGGCTCTGGTTCGAGTTCTCCCTCTCTCTCTCCCTCTCTTTCTCTCTCTCCCTCTCTTTCTCTCTCTCTCTCCCTCTCTCTCTCTCTCTCTCTCTCTCTCTCGCTCTCTCTCTCTCTCTCTCTCTGTCTCTGTCTCTCTCTCTCTCTCTCTCTCTTCTCTCTCTGTCTCTGTCTCTGTCTCTGTCTCTTTCTTTCTCTGTCTCGGTCTCTCTCTCTCTCTCTTTCTCTCTTTCTTTCTTTCTTTCTTTCTTTTCTTTCTTTCTTTCTTTCTTTCTTTCTTTTGTTCTTTCGTTCGTTCTTTCGTTCTTTCGTTCTTTCGTTCTTTCGTTCTTTCGTTCTTTCGTTCTTTCGTTCTTTCGTTCTTTCGTTCTTTCGTTCTTTCTTTCTTTCTTTCTTTCTGTCTTTCTTGCTTTCTTTCTTTCTGTCTTTCTGTCTTTCTTTCTGTCTTTCTGTCTTTCTTTCTGTCTTTCTGTCTTTGTTTCTTTCTTTCTTTCTTTCTTTCTTTCTTTCTTTCTTTCTTTCTTTCTCTCTCTCTCTCTCTCTCTCTCTCTCCCTCTCTCTCTCCCTATCTATCTATCTATCTATCTATCTATCTATCTATCTATCTACCTAGTCGAACCCACCAATCCATCTAGCCATCTAAACACCTATCCATCTATCAATCTATCGATCTATCGATTGATCTATCTATCCATCCATCGATCGATCTATCTGCCTATCTTTCTGCCCTATCTATCTTATCTATCAATCCATCCATCTATGCATCCATCCACTTATCTATCTGTCTACCTATCTACCTACCTACCTATCTGCCTCTACCTATTTACCTATCCATCTATCATCTATCTACCTATCTATCTACCTATCTGTCTATCTGATAGTCTATCTATCTGAATATCTGGCTATCTGACTATCTGACTACCTGTCTATCTTGTTATATATCGATCATCTTATCTTCTATTTTCTTATCTATCTATCTTCTTATCTATCTATATCTATTCTTATCTATCTTCTGCCCTACCTTTCTTCTTATCTTTCTAATTTATTATCTACCTATCTTCTTCTCTACAGTATCTATCTTCTTATCTACCTTGATCTATCTATCTGTCTGTCTGCCTGTCTATCTGTCTATCTATCTATCTAACTATTTATTTGTCTATCTATCTTTCTTTCTTTCCATCTATCTATCTATGTTTCATGTTTCACATTTCTATGTATCTATCTGTCTGTGATCTGTCTATCTATCTGGCCATCTGTCTATCTGACTACCTGACTGGCTGAAAAGAGGTACCTTACATTTCGGATATTTTTAAGATAAAGGCTGTCCCAATGGGAAAAACCTAGGTCCCAACATATCAACATAAAACCCAACAAAAGGCCAAAAACCTAAGGCACTACAAAAGCACCTTTTTCTTGTTCCCCACGACCCCGCTCCCACACCATGGAGAAACCGAGCTTTGTCACTCCGCAGTCTAGGCCCACCTCCACCCCGGAGTACTGACAGCTTCAGCAGGGTTCCGGAGAAGGTTCCGGAGAAGGTGGAGAAGGTTCCGGGTGTCTTTGGTGCAGGGTTTTTTGGAGAAGGCTCCAGAGAAGGTTCCAGAAAGCCTTGGTGCAAAGCCAAGTCAGGTTCAACGGGTTCCGTAGAAGGTTCCGGAGAAGGCTTGCAAGAGGCTTTGGTGCAGAGCCATGTCAGGTGGAGAAGGTTGCAGGGAAGGTCTGCAGGAGGCTGGTGCAGAGCCAGGTCAGTTCAACAGGGTCAAGTTCAACAGGGTTCCGGAGAAGGTTCCAGTGACCCACAAGCCAAACTGCTAACTATGCAATAGCAAAGCGTGATGACAAATTCTCTTCGAGAAAGGCCGGACAAGGGCTATGCAAATAACCACATGCCACAGCAGCCTGCCAGGGCCAAGAAAAAAAGTGGCAGCAAAACTGGCTGCCCTACGCACCAGTATGGCTGCATGCAAGGGGCCCTCACCCCTCTTGCTGCATCCGCCGCGAAGGGCAAAGTGGTGTCGAGGGACCTGACTATGCACCAAAGCGTCCCACACATTATCCGGAACCTTCTCCGGAACCCTGCTGAACCTGACCTGGCTCGGGACCAAAGCCTCCCAGGCCTTCTCCGGAACCTTCTGCGGAACCCGTTGAACCTGACTTGGCTTTGCACCAAGGCTTCCTGGAACCTTCTCCGGAACCTTCTCCGGAACCTTCTCCGGAACCTTGTTGAACCTGTTCTCCGCAACCTTCTCCGGAACCCTGTTGAACCTGACCTGGCTCTGCACTCAAGCCTCCCGGAACCTTCTCCGGAACTTTGCTGAACTTGACCCGGCGCCTGCACCAGCGCACACCGGAGCTATTACGGGCTGAAGACCCCATTAGCTTACGCTGTTGGAGAAAAATTTATCGAATCATCATGGTTGCTCTAGATTTGTTTGACACAAGGTACACAAGGAAAAGTCTTGACCCACGGCCCTAAGGTTTTCACTCCAAAGTCTGCGCCCACCTCCACCCCGGAGTGCTGACAGCTTCTGACTTCAACCCAACTTGAATCTACAACCAAGATCTTTCAACATCTCTCAAGCATCCTGTTCAAAATCTTCCTTCATGTTTGTGATGTGAGAAATATGTGTGATTTCTAATCTTGCATCATCATCATCATCATCATCATCATCATCATCATCATCATCATCATCATCATCATCATCTGGGTCGAAAACCTGGGCACAACATGTTGGACTAGTTGTCCTCTAAAGGCGAAAAACCTGGGTCACCACAATACCATGAATTTCTATAATCACCATGTTCCCGGGCTAAAAACCTAGAACTTAGAACCCTAAGATATAAGATAAAAATGTACACAAAGGCTTAAAACCTGGGGCACTAGATATCACATATGTATTGATATAAAGCTGGATAGGTTCTTCGCCCTTGTCATTGGGCAAAAATCATAGGGCTTCGGCTTCGGACTATGGTTTTCAGCCAGGGACCCTCAACGGGGATGTCTTTCTGTCTTTCTATCTGCTTATCATCGTTTCTCTATCTATCTTTCTATCTACCTGAAAGGAAGCAATTGCATGTCCAAATCGAAGCAATTCTGCGAGACATCCGAAAAAATGGAACTTGACAATGTCAAAAACGAAGCAATTCTGCGAGACTTCCTCAATTTTCGAAGTTGACAACGTCAAAAAACGAAACAATTCTGCGAGACTTCCTTCAAAAATGGAAAGTTGAGTGCAGAGCTGACGGCCTCGTACCAATGCGATTCGCATTTTTTTCATTCCATCGGTCTAAAACAGCGAGCCTGCCGCGAAAAAGTGAGGCCAGGTCATACGAAGTGCTGCACCTGTCACGCAACATGATCTTAGCAAACCTGAAGGTCTGATGCTCCAAAATGCCACCCCTCTCAGGAAATCAGCACCCTGACCTCCTAACATCTCTGATCAAAATGCCTATTGTACTGCACTTGCCACGCGAAAAGCATCTTTGCAGAAATCCTTCAAATGTTCCACGCCTGCCATCGTTTTTGAAAATGCTGCAAGACCCACATGTTTGACTCAAATTTGACAAGGTGCAGAATCCATGGTGCCTGTCACACAAAGTTGCGCTTCGACTCCAAAAGTGTCCGAACATGGTGTGCTCTTCACATTTGCTTTCGAAATGTGCTTCACGCCACAACGCATGCACTTTTTCGACATCTCAGCCTCCAAAAGTGGTCCGACCGAACATGCGGTGTTTTTACCATGGTGCCTTCGAAATGTGCTTCGCACCATAACCGCGTGCACTTGTTCAACAACGTTCAACATCTAAACTTCCAAAAGTGCTCCATCATGCTCCGACAATGCTGTGTTTTTTGCATTTTGGCTTCGCAACGTGCTTCGCGTATCTTCGCGCCACAACGCCGTACACTTTTTCAAAAACTGAACTTCCAAAAGTGCTCCGAGAATGGTGTATTTTGCGCGTTTTGACTTCGAGGGGTGCTTCGCGCCACAATGGAGTGCACTTTTCCACATCTCAGCTTCCAAGAGTGCTCCGCCCCTCAGATGTTTTGACCGTTTTACTTCCAAATCTGCTTCGCGCATCTTCGCGCCAAAGTGGCATGCAATTCTTCATCTCACGTCTGCCAGGATGGCTCCGCACCCGCCGCTTTAGCAAACCTACTTTTCGACCCTCCGGAGCTACAAATCATTGGAAAAACAGTGTGTTTCGCGACTTTCCTACCTTTTCATGCACCTTCATCTTCTTTGATCTTCTTTCTTCTTCCTTTCTCTTCTCTGACTCTTCCCACATCTGCTTTTCCATCTGTCCATATTGTCGGAAGCTTGACTTCTAAACCTCCTTCGACAATAATATATGAAGAAAATTGAAGTAATTCATATCATACACTAGTAATCATATGCTGAAAATTTCTGGACGTTCACCAACATAGACCGTTGGAGTGTTTGGGCCAAATCATGGCTATCCCTGGGGATCGTCAAGAATGTAGTCAGGTATATTTCAGCAACTAGCCGAAAGGAAAAATCTACTGTAATTCTGACAGCATATAATTAGTAGCCATACATTTTAATTTGGATGTGTGTGCAATAAACATACATAAACATACATAATCATACATAAACATACACAAAATCCTGTCAACAGCTGTCAACTTGCAATGCCACAGTTGCTATTTTGGCCTCTCTCTCTTCGCCCTCAGAGAGGTCGCCATAGAAGACCAGGCGAGCCAGGAGCCGAGCATCGCTGAAGGCAACGACTAACCTCAGCTCGACTCGAGCGGGGTTTCCATAGGGGTACCCCAATAGCTGGATGCTTGTACAATGGAAAATCCATGAAAATCCATCTATAAACCATCTATAACCATTATAAACGAATTTTTTGGGGGTACCCCCAGATCCCCCAGTTTAGGAAACATTAGGACGAAACCTTCAGCTGATCTCAGCTGCATAGCACTACCAACATGGATGGCGAATGAAGAGCATGACACACACTGATTTTTTCGAATCCGCATGGTGGAAACATGTAAACATAATAATCCATCACGTGACGACTCTATCATCCCACTTTATGCAAAATTTAGAAGTTACGTTGAAAGATGCATGAAAATGGATTGGGGTATTGTGTACTGCTCTGATTCATCAAGCATTTGATCGGTCACATCTCCAGCTCTAGTTGCCCTTGGCCATGCAGCTTGGCCAGCCAAGCCACACCTCATAGGCGTCACAGCACTCCACGGCTGTGAAAAGTACCTCCCCCTTGCGGTCGTCGCTCCTGGACATGGACCACTGTGGTCGCGTTGGTGCAACCTGAGAGCATGTCATGACCATTGAATTCATGTCACTGTCAAGCATTCTTGAAGTATTCACCTGATTGACATTCATGTACCTATGATTGCCCATGTCAATAATGCTGGGAAAATGAGAGCAAACCCAACATCGATGGGATGCTTTGGCAAACATGGGGTCGTCAACCCAAGCACTCCTTAAAACACTAGCGACGGTGCAAAGTTCCAGCATTCCATCAATCACCAGCACCGTAGCACTGCATGCTACTGCCAAGCTGTGGCTTGACAAATCATCTCTCAGGAGTATCCAAAATGGCTCAAACTGTTCAATTCAAAGGGATGGCAGAAACATGCGGCAATCACCCAGTGTTCTTCCAACTCTTGGCTCATTTGGGGTTAAAAGTCAACATCCATTTTCATGTCTGTTTCATCTGCTTTGATTTGTCGGGCCTTTGGGCTCTCTGCCCCGCTTGAACCACAGTTCCTGCCTCGAACACATATGAGGTAGCTCTACCTTGTCCCTCGTCTTCTCCATGAAGCGATAACAGCTGCTAAAGGCATGATCAATGCAACAAGTAATTAATAGTCATTGTCATTGTGTTGTTATGTAATTAGGTAACTCAACGCCCATTCAGACTACAGCTACCACTAAGACAAAGATTTTATATAAACCCGATTCTGCACAGGTTGCAAGCATCTCTTTTGAGGATTTGCATGTCAGTGGTGACGACTCAGCAAATGATGCCCATAACATATATCACTCTCACACAGAATATCTCGATATATCTCGTAGAAGAACATGTCACATGTGTAGTGGGCCAGCGTTTGGAGCTATCTGGGTGGCTCCCACACGTGAAAGCTGCCGATCTGCATCATCTCGCTTGGCCCGCAAATCCTGAGGAAGTTGGATATGTTGGATACAAGTTGACCTCAATTCTGGCCGCTCAGAAGGCCTGGAACTCCTGGTCTCGCCCTGAAATCTCTTCTTTGAGAGCGGCCTGGCTTTGCAACCAGTCTCTTGGCTGAACGGCAGAGATCCATCAAGAACCTGGTGTTCCTGCATGGAAGACAATAAAAGCAAATCAAATTTGAGACCCACCGACCCTGGATTGATCTGGATCGCAGCCTCCTCTTGTTGCAACCCTTCCTTTTGTCGTTCCAATTCCTTGCCCAACTGTTCAGCGGGGGATGCAATGATGCATAGCAAATAGACAAATAAAAAAGGACTAAAAAATGAACGCGGGAGTCTGCAAACTAAGTCTTGAATGGCATGCTGTATCTTCACCACAGTGCTGCAAGAATGCCAAAGGATGTCAAGAACCCCTGGAACGGTGTCACTCAAAGTCCTGCAACTGGAGTTTGGACTCCACCAAGCTGGCCTGCACTATGCTGAACTCGATCTGAACCCAGTTTTTCCAAATCTCTCAGGGACCAAAAATAGTGATACCCATGAGATGCAGGGAGTCAGCTCATCTCCGAATCGAGGGCAAAAACTTGAGATGATTGTCTCAAATTGTGGAAGTTGCCAAACTCATATCCCCGCGCTTACTACCTTCCAAAAAATGTGAGCACTTCCCGGTTTCTTTTGGCAGCTTGGAGTCACAGTTCAAAGATTCTGGGTCCTCGAGTTCTGAGACACCAGCTTCTATCAGACATTGATCCACGCTCGGAAAAGCTAGTAATTCTGGTATAAATGGCTGCATATGCCTCATTCATATCTATATATATCTCTCTCTCTCTATCTATCTATATGACATAGATTCATAGATGAGCTGCAGGTGGATCATCAACTGGGGTGCTAAAATTTAATCAACAAATGGGAGATTGCCTGGACACAGTCCACTGGTGGTGGCAGGTCCAGCTGAAGCGCAATGCGCCCAAAATCCGACGTCATCATGGACATCTTGGAGATGTGGAAATCGCTCCAAGGAGACATGAAGAAAACGCATCTAATTGTAAGCATGCACCATGACGATATAATTAAGGATCGATATTAAGGATCGATATACAGTTGTTTGGTCATTTATGTATTCGCATATTTGTTCGTTTATGAACATTCCGATGGGGTGACAAACGCGCTAGCAGCTGTTCAATTTGTTGCTAAAAATATCTTAAAATGGCTCTATCGCCACAACGCCGCTCACGGCCGTTCAAGTTTGTTTCTCTTAATGGGTGTCAAGGGTCCCCGTGTTTTTCATGCGTCGAAATCCAGATGTATTGCATTTTTCGGGACATGTGTTTGATCAGGCGAGGCTTTTTTGTCTTTCACTTCAGCCGTTTGCTGAGTGACTTTCCCGTGAAACCCAGCATGTCAGAACATTCGACCACCTCTACTGCCACACAATTTATTCACACTCTGATTGCTTGCAGCAGTTTTGGATTGAATCCCGTTCACATCCTTTCACCCTTGTGCCAAGAGCCTAGCATAGAGAGCGTCTTCGAAGTTGCTTCAGAACTTTAGGAGGGAAGTTGCTTGAAAACGTCAAGGGCCTAGCATCAAGAGCGTCTTGCAAGTTACTTGAGAAAGCCAAGAGCGTAGCATCAAGAATGTCTTGCGAGTTACAGTACCTGAGGAAGTTAGGAGCGTAGCTTCAAAAGCGTCTCGCGAAGTTACTTGAGAAAGTCAAGAGCGTAGCAACTAGAGATATCTAGAGTGTCTACAGAGTTACTTGCAAGAGCGTAGCATAAAGAGTGTCTTGCAAGTTACCTGAGAAAAATACTGTGGGAGCGTAGCATCAAGAATGTCTTGAGAGTTGCTTGAGAAAGTTAAGATCGTAGTATCAAAAGCTTCTTGCCAGTTGCTTGAGAAGTCAAGAGAGTAGCATCAAGAGTGTCTTGGAAGTTACATGAGAACGTTTGGAGCATAGCATCAAAAGCGTGTCGAAAGAACGCAAAGCAACTGAACTTTATTAGACCCCCGGCCCCACCCCACTGCAAATGAACAACATACACTAGCATCAACGCCATGTGCGATCCAACATGATGAGAAGCGCTGCAAACGGTAGCGCAGTTTTCACCCCTCTAGCATAAGCGATACAAACACGCGCATGCATCCTTTCATTTCAAATAGTTTCTGCTTATGTTTGTGTTGATGTGTGTGTGTGCACAATCTGATGCTGCGCGCTTTTTCTTGAAATGTCTGAACGAATTAATTTGAAGATCACTTTAGTGCACGTGCATATTGTGTACAGTGTAGAACACATGGTCCGGTCCCAATATGTCCCAATTATGTCCCAGTTCATGTGGCTTGAATCTCCCATGCCTGCCCCATCTTTTCCTATGTCACTTCCACAGCTCCAGGAAACCCAATGCGTCTATGGATGTCAAGCTCCACTTGACATCAATAAAAGTGCGGGGATAGCTGGTGTAGCCGCAACTGCGCAAGACAGTAACGAACAAATGAGTTCAGGCAACCAAGTGACAATCGTTCAGGCAGCATGAAAAGACTTCCACACTATCCTCAATCAATAGGGAAAAAACATGAAAAAACTTAGTTCGTTGGTTGGTTAAACTCTGAACTTCAGAATGCCACAGAAATTGAGCAAGTGACCTTAATGGCCAGTTCTGATGTGCAAAATATCCAGTGCCATGAGTTTTTGGGAGAGCCTGTGGATTAAAGCTTTCAACAATGACTTCTGTATCAACCATTGTGGTCAAGAATTCTTAGCTACGTTGGACATGTGAGTTGAAAAGCAGCCCGGCTCGAGCATGCTCGCCTGGCTGATCGAATGACATGATCCACTTGCCATGACCTATATACAGTTGGAAAATTGGGGGCATGTGCCCCCATGAAATGTGCCTCACTTGGTCAAAAAGAACTTTGAATTTGAAAGAATGAAAAGAGCTAAAGCATAATTGTGGACCTTGCTCCGCACTCTCAACAGCTCCTCATACGTCGTACGTATCATAAAAACATTTTGGACTAATAGACTGCTACAGGCCACAAAATATTTATCGTAGTATGTGTAATGTTAGTTTCCGATTAGTAAAATCCCTCAATAATATGAAATTTTCGGGCTGAACCTCATTTTTCTGTTGTATTCGTTTTCAATTGCACCCCTTTGCTTTTAGTATTTGGTCATGTTTTTGGCCATGTATCTATGTATGCATGTATGCATGTATCTATATATGCATGTATCTATGTATGTATCTATGTGTGTAGCTATATATGTATCTATGTATGTATCTATATATGTATCTATGTATGTACCTATGTGTGTATCTATGTATGTATCTATGTGTGTATCTATGTATGTATCTATGCATGTATCTATATATGTATCTATGTATGTATCTATGTATGTATCTATGTATGTATCTATGCATGCATGCATGTATGTATCTATGTATCTATGTATCTATGTATCTATGTATCTATGTACCTATGTATATAGATACATAGATACATACATAGATAAATAGATACATAGGTACGTAGATACATAGATACATAGATACATAGATACATAGACACATACATAGATTAGATACCTATGTATCTAATCTATGCATGTGTCTATGTGTCTATGTGTCTATGTATCTATGTATCTATGTATCTATGTATCTATGTATCTATGTATCTATGTATCTATGTATCTATGTATCTATGTATCTATGTATGTATGGAATTGAAATGAATTGACCTGAACCTGTGTCAAACCCCCTTTGAAACTAAATCCTTAAAAAAATCCAATTGCGGGGTAGCTGTGCATTATTGCGCCGGGGGGGGCGCCCCCCTTATTAATCCGAAGTTAAGATTAAGAAGCATGGTGAGTGCATGGAACTGCTGCGTCGACACCTTCCAAGAGTCCACTCCGGCTTTGGGGAGTGGCCCCTTGCGGGGTGCATTGAGCTGTAGCCACTAGCAGCCAGCAGCTAGAAAGCCTTCATGGGAGGCTCTTCAAAATGGTGGGAATAAAGCCTCGGCAGCGGACGCTGGGCCCATGGGGTATGTCGCAGGATATCCCATGGCGTGCCCCCCTTCACATCATGCGATCAGCAGGGATCCAAGGCGCATAGTCTCGTAGGATGGGTATGGATACAGATCCGCATCCATCAAACCTCAGCTGCCAAACATATGCCAAACCAACCATTCCTTTAAGATTTATATAAGTCTCTGTCTCACTTGTCTTCTGTCACTGCTGGCACACTCTCCTTACAATCACAACACCATTTGGGTGTTTGAAGATGTTTGGAGTCCTCAAATGCTAAGAATGCTTGAGTAAGGCTTGG